AAAAATCCTTACCGGTTTAGAGCAGACGCGACAAAACAGTTCCTTCTTGAAGAATAAGTTCAGGAAAAGGTTTAATCCATAAATTAATTTGAGTTATCTTCGACATATTAACACACATGTATCGCTTTAAATGCTTTCAATGCAAACTCACGATGAAAAATAATAGGGTAACGTCCCTTCAACCACCGTAACACATACCATTAATACACTTAAGTAACGAACAAAAATATTGGGAATGAACGGTATTTCCAAAAGTAATTAGGGCCCAAATTTACCTGGAAGAATGGCTTAACACCCAATGGATTCTCCAAACTACCATAAAACCCAAACCTTTACTAGTTATTTGAAGATCAGGACAATATTTGCAATATGATTAATGAAATTTCGTCTTTCTAGATACATGCCGATAGAATAACAATCTTTTTTTTTTCAAATTGGCACAAAAATTGATAAAAATGCAAAATATGCACCCGTTACGTGAAATATGCAGCAGAAGGCAAATGTATGCAAATATGCAATTTTTTTATAGCTGTATTCGTTTTTAATTATCATGATTCGTTCACATATTAAATTTCAAGACTTATATGCAAAAAATAACGGATATGCAAATTTCATAAAATCCGCTCTCTAGTGATAAAATAGTACTAGCCATGAGATGTGTCGATTAAATCAAGTTCATTACTTTGACATTTTATTTGTTTGGTTTAAATTAATTATTCTGATTTTGGATTCGAAATAAACTTTAAAACATGTTTCCTAATTAGAATAATACACCCCCTCTGCCTATTCAACGATTTGGAAAGGTGGCATTTAAATAATCTGTTACAATATGTGTGTTATGAACCCGACAACTATCTCGTTAAACCAAATCCCAAATCATCAATAGCTGGTACTACACTTTGTGGCCGCAGATTTAAATATTGAATGTCATTTAATTGGTTCGGAATAAAATATGTCCCAAAAAATTGTATGATGACCCAATATTTCGGCCAATGATATTGGATGTTAATTGACAAAAAGAAATGTTGATTTTCTGTATTCACATATTGGCAGTTTGGTGAATTTACTTCACCATTTAAAGAAAAAGTTTCTCAAAACAATATTCTCCTTTTTTTGTCCTCAAAAATTTGTTTCTGATTTCGAATGCATCCCCAAATTTTGTCCCACTTGATACATTTTTGTCCTCGGCCATACTAAGAAGAACAGCCTTAATTTTTTTTCTGCACTAGCACCAGGAGTGTGCCGTTGGCACTTGCAAGATTTATTTACAGTACCTCTGCACTTTAAACCGTTGTAGGATTCTTTCAGTTGTTGAAAAAAGAGGATTGAAAAATTGATTCCCTGACATGAAGATGGCTGTGTTTATGGCTCTGGTATAATTTTTAAAATTACTTTTGAACATTGCACGGCCTCCTTGATAGAAAGATAAACTTTCAGTATATAAACCTCGAAACATTGCCAAAAAGATGTAGTGTGTCAAGTAAATTAATTTTAGTTAAAGTAAGCAATATTTTTTGTTAAATCATTTTACAACTTCAAAATTTTTCTATTTGTAGGCCAGCAATTCACACACATTTTTTTAACAGATATGATAAATAGAACATCGGAAAATTGGATTCTCTTGCAACGTTTGGTGTAGAATTTACTTTTAGGCAAGACATCAACATCTTTTATGGGCCTTCGTTCTTTTACCTAATCTAAGTCGTCCAGAAACAAACCTGACTATTAGGTCAAGAAATATAAAATTATTTAATTTTTAGGCTATGATTGTGCGAACCAAGCTTTAGATTTAGTTGCCTCATCAGTAACGTATAGCATTTCTTCAAATAAGACGATGAGATAATTTCCTCTGAAAAATTCATCTCATGGTCCAAAAAAATATTCCATGTATTTTTCAATGCGTGGCAAAAATCTTAGAAATACAGGTATGTCTGTATTGTAAAGTTAGTATTATTCGTTTTATCTGTCACAAGTCTTATTGTTATAAATCCACATTCAGTTAATAAATTTGAAAGATTCAAATTAAGTTTCTAAAAATCGTCTACTATTAAAGAGGAATAAAAAAGAGTACCCTGCTGGTGTGGTGTATTTGGTGGATAGACCCATAGCAGGACCTTTTGTTGTCAATTTTTGGTTTTTGGCCAACTATTGCTTCATGGCAGGTATCGCTACCATAAATCTGGTCATCTGTTCTGTTACCCTTTATCGATATGTCATCTATAATAAGGAAACAAACGTTCTACAGATACTTTGAGATTAAAAATTTCAAAATTTTGTTTAATTAACTGCGGAGCCATTGTGACCACCCAGACAACACGATGTTGTTGTTTTTGATGGTTCAATAAATTAGATCGGTAGTATTCGTAACCTTCTGTTGCGCAGAACCTCCAAATTCTACAAATTGGCACCGTTTTTTTGGACTATCGAGAGTTTTTTGCCTTAATTTTCAAAAAAACGTCGAACAACAAGGTGGCGTTTTTATCAAATTCGTCAAATTAACGTTTAGAGTTTTATCTTTACTGCGTTCTTGTTCTAAATCTTTTAATTTTGGCAACACTTTTGAATATTTATTGTTTGTTCTTTTTGGCTGGAGTACAAGAACCTTGCAGTGATATCGTAAATTGGCAATTTCGATGGCCGATTTTGTCTCAATTTCTGCAAATTTTGTATGAGGAAGAGAAACAATTTTCGGGGAGTTTGTCAGGAAGCTAATCAAAATTCTGTAAGGTATATATATTAAAAATATTGAGCCCATAATTTTGTAAAACTTACAGCTGCAAAAAGTAGAACATCCTTAGTTAAACGGCATAATTTGTCACATATTATATGTTTTCGGTGATAGAAAAAGTATCTACATCTAAACGAAAAAAAAAACATTGTCTTAGTTTCCACATTACCAGTTACTTTGTTACTCGACATTGGTTTTTCAAAGCTTCGACAATAACTTTCTCCTCTATGGTATAGTAGTTAATATTGTTTTGATGAATAAAACCAGAAAATTCAGCAATTAGAGACAAATTACTAAACTGTTAATAAATTGTCACATTTCTTGTCCACTACAACTTTATCATAATCTTGAATTACCTTTTTTTTTCAACACCATAAGGTGTTACAAAATAAATAAAAAAGCATTTACATACAGTTTCTAATGCTCTACAATATTTGTAGCTAAAGTTTTGCTCTAAACTAATTAAGGAGGCAATATTTTCAACTTTATGTTTTTACGTGGAAAATCCGTATGTTCAATGAGCGATTCTATACCGGCATATACAACTCATGGTAGCGTGATTTTTTTACTGATTCCCAATATCTAAAAAATATTAAATTGGAGCTACTGAAAACAGTCCAGACCATTACGAGTATCTTTTCCAATTTTTTAAGCAACGAATATATTTGTTTCATAAGCTTTTAAATAGAGTGACGTCATCATTTCCTTGGAGAATAGTAAATATAGTTCGAGTAATCCTCTTCAGCAAATAGGATGAGCATTTGTTGTAATATTTTGTAAAATGTTCATCACAATATTAATGTTTTCAAACCGGAATTGACAGTATTAAATCACAACAGCAGTGGTTTTCAATTATTGCAAGTACCGTAAATTTATACTAATTTTGATATGTATAAATATTACACTAATTCTAACATTTCTCCATAATTTCAAGTAAAGAATTTTCTCTCATATTTTAGCACATTTTAGCCTATTTTATAAGAAATAAAAACATCGCACATTTTAGGACGCATATAGTTTTTGACGATGACGTCAATGACTTTCCGTATACGATGTATATGCATTTTAGTTAATTTATTTTGGGACACTTTCATGTACGAAGCTGAAACTGGATGGGGATTTTTAAAAAACAGAAATTTATAAATATGTTTGGTTCACGTCATCATGTTTTAAAAAGGATTAGTGTATTGTTCGTATCCTGTGAGCTGATGTAGCAAGAAAGTAGCATTCGTGAAAATAATTCTATAAAAAACCCTTTCGGCATCGGCCGCAAATAAAAAACACACGTTTACATTTTGTGGTCAGTGTTGCCAGGAAATTATTCAGGATTTTAGTATTTTAGTATCCTACTAAATATTACATTATTGGCCAATAAAATGTGCTTTATGTGTGACTCAGTTCGCAAAAATTGTGTTGCCAAATTATAGGTGTAACAATGGCACTAACCTTGGTCACTCCTACAGTTAATACAGTAGCCAGAAAGAAACTACTCAACAATGTCTCTTTACCTTAGGAATGCAAGAAGAAAATAAATATTCTACTTTTTATGTAAAAATTAGTGTGATGACTTCATTAATTCAGTTCTATATTATTTACATCTAGTTATATAGCAAACACTGTTATTTTTTCTTGCACTGGATTTTGCAACTTCAGAAAAATCTTTTTTTTGTTTTTCATGCAAATATTTATGTTCAACTACATGCGATCTCGGTTTGCGTTTTTCTTAATTAATACTTTCATCCTAATGGAATATACATCCGTTTAGAGGCCTAATCGATGTCTGGCATTTTCCGTCGCTTTTGCACAAGTATGTTCTATTGACTTGTCTTGCGTATAAATTCTCTCTTCGTCAGTTTTCAGTTTTATGGTCGGTCGATTTTCTCTCATGCGTTCGTGTGTTTGTTTAAGCTGCAATTATCGACCAGACGCTGTAATTACCCGGCTCCAATTAAAATAATGGAACGATGCCATGAACTATTAGCATTTCATTGGAGGGACGAGAACACAGAACGTGATCATTTTTTGTCTGTTATTACACACACACAACGTGCACACAATGCACGGATTAACGAAAATAAAACCGAAATTGGCCTTATCGCGCCAGCATCATCTGGCAGAGGTTTATAGAGGAAGATTTTTTATCGTATGGTATTCGGGAACTTGATGACTATGATAAATGGTGCAACTCGCCTAGTTATTATTTAATTTCCTTTTGTCGATTTTATCTACGAAACTATGAAAATTGTTCTTAACTGTTGTTTTTCTCTTCCAGTTCGCAACGGCTATTCGTGTGTTCCTGTGGCTTTGGCCGACGGTTTGGACATCAAACTCAATGCCGCAGTCAAGAAGGTCGAATACAACAAAAACGGAGTGGAAGTCACCGTGTACAACCCCAGGATCCCTCACACGGTCAATACATATCACGGTAATTTTATTTTATGTATATGGTTGTATGCCTTAATTGGGTACCGTTTTGTACTTTTATCTCAGACACAAAAATTGCTACAAGTATATTTAGGTTTGCCCATCACACTGCGCATTTTTTGTAGCCAAAACTAATTCGACGAACGTCGACACACTTATATAGTCATAAATTTTGTGGTATAATAAATAAACGCTTCGGGCCATTTGAGTATACCTTATGTTCTACAAACCACAGATCTTAAGGTACTGATTAAAATTATACGTAATAGGCTATAGCAGTTGCTGGTGCTTCTTAATTTATGGCTATATTTGAGGTGCGAGTTGTGGTACCTACAATACACAAAAAAATTCAAGCTTTCGTTATATATTAATTTCAGTATTTTCTTAACAAGCTAAAGACAAAATTGCCACAAAAAGGTATATTTGGAACGTTTCTTATTTATCTAAAATTATAAGGTGAACGATACTGGTGAATACGCTAATAAGTGACTTTGGTATAACGAGCAAAAAGGCTTCAAGGCGGGTCTCACATCATCAAGCAAATCACTTCAGCACAATACTTGAAAAGACTTACCACAAACCGCATATTTTGTAAATCGCAGAAAACTCGTTACGTGTGGATAATATCAAATTACCGGTGCTAATTTTGGCGTCTGGTAATGTTTAATGACCGAGGAAACAATGTAATATCGACTTGTTATGTCCAAAAAGCATTTATGTTGATAGCAAAATATTCAATCACAGCCACAATAATTCAGTTAAATTACAAAAATCATCCAATAAAGCACGGTTCGCTTTGGATTGTCAAGCGAAATATGATTCGTGATCTAATATTCTAATATTTTCTGCAAAATTATCGTGTAAATGAGCTTGCAGTTCTTACTTTTGCAAAGTCACGCCAATCGGTTCGTTTTTGTTGCCATAATTGCATTATTTAATAAAAACATGAAAAAAATCGTTTAGATGTAGATAAGTACGTCAAATGGTACTCAAATACCAAGTGTTAATCACCACAGTGACAAGGTGTCACCATAATTGACCACTAAATTACTTCGTGTTGTTTTTTCTTTCTGTGGGAATGCAGGCTTTTACGACTGTTATTCAGAACCAGGAGGGGTTTCCGGGTGATGCGCTAGCCAGCAACTGGTATATTAATAGTCCATAATATTTTATTTTTGTTAAAGTGTAAAAAAAAAAATAAAACGGGATGCACAAGAAACTTACCATGTAAAGCTGCGAAACCTACTACAATACAAAATGTTTAAATATGTAAAGTTGCTCTGTTATGGTGTCATAATCCAAAGCATGACGCTAGAAGATTTTATGGATTAATGTATTTTTTTAATGGTTCTTGGAAGACTTTTCGAGGAAAAACAGATTAAAGATCTTTATCTTGAATGGTTATTGATGACTTGTGAATGTTTTTGGTACAAAAAAGTATCTATAAATTTATTAAACATTACTTTCCTTGAATTTCTGAACCACAAACAGGATTATGAGACCACGAAACATATTTTATAATACAATAATTTATTAATTCGTAGATGACGTCATCAATTTTTAGGTGGGAATGAATATATGAATTTTGATGTAATATGTAACATTAATCATAACGTTAATAATTCCCCAGGATTTTAGCGAAGTCAGATCAACGGTTGATGACATATCCAATTAAATATGTGGTTAATTTTTTTGAGGATGCATTTCCACAAAAGCATGTAACTAAAAATTCAAACCATATTTCATTTCTGAACGTGTTTTTATTAAATACCGTTGTATCTAATAACTAAGCTTGATTTAATGTTCTAATCAACGAATTAATGTTAAAATTTATATTTAGAAAAAGTTCGCTAAAGTAAACCTTGCAACACATTATTGTGGTAAGTCAAGACAATATACAAAAATCGGATTAGGTCAAGTCAGATCAAGTCAGGTCAGTCAGGAACAGTAACTAACACTGTTGTTATAACAGCACTTAGGAGTCCTGCTATATGTCGCTCAGTTAGTAAAGAGTTTTATGACTTAGAACAACAATTGTCATAAAATAATGATTTAGTTTGATTTGATCTTATCTGGTGTGTTGTGTGATCTAGGCAGGGTAGGTTATTTTCAAACCTCATCGGAACCACGTAAGCATTACTTTGAGGAGGTGGTTAGTCACTTCTTATTCTTTCGTTTGCCTTTTCTTCGTGGAAGGGATATCCTTCACCAATTCTTTTATTTTTTCCCACGAATGCGTATTTTGCAACATTTTGGCAATCATTTGTTCCCCTGTTATGCTATATCTGGGACATTTTAGAACAATACGATCTAAATCATCATCATGTTGACATTCATCGCCGTCTCTTTTTCCAATTCTCTTAAGATACGTTCCAGAACACCCGTGTCCGGTTAGAAATAGAGTTTTATCCATCATGTTGTTTATCGCGCTAGTCGCGGATGCATGGGATAGAAATATTTGTACCCTGTCTATTGTCTGCTTCCACTTCTTCTGCCATGTCTCGATTGTGGTTTCCCTTGCCTATGACGGTTTTCTTTGTACAGTTTCCAGATTTTGCCAATTCCTTTGTGTTCCCATTCCAACTGTCTATATTGGTCCTCCATTTAATATAATGGACTGACTTACTCTTCTTTTCTCGATTCTCCGTCCTCCTACATTTGGCATGATTATGCTGAATGATGGCAGCTTTTCAGTCGCTTTGGCTACCGTCCCCTGTAGATGTCGTGTGAAGGACAAATTCTTGCCGATGGTGATGCCTAATTACCTCATGGCTTTTCTGAAAGTAATTTTCTAGGAGCTCAGCTTAAAATACAGTTCCCTTCGATCACATTTTTCACTCAAGATCACCGCCTTTATTTTGTCTCTTCAGATATCAAGCCTATTGGATACTACCTATCTTCTGACTAGTTCTAGTGCATTATTGCTGCCTGCGTGCAATTCATTCATATTTGCCGCGGTAAACACCCAACCCAAATCATCGTCGAAGCCTTAACTCCTGAAGTGACTTATAAGAGTGAGCACATTCCATAGCAGGAGAATGAGATCTGATCTGACCTGACCTGATAGGAACCGCCGTATTATGGCATACCGTCTATCTGTTTCATATCCCTTTTTCTACTGCTCTCACCGTTCTTGTCCTTCAATCTCGATTTCTTCTTTTTCCTTATTCCTCGTGCTATCCGTGAGAAAACTAATCAAGAGTTGCCAATGCTTTTTATCCTATAACATCAGCAGGACAAGATTGTCCGCCCTTCTCTTCTTCCCCAATATCTCTTCCATTTCGTCTCCTTTTCCCCTTTTCTGCACGTTAAAATATGCTCTGGGGAATCCGTTATGTTACAACGTATACATGTATTGTCCCTCGTCTTGACGGTTCTTTTTGTGAATTCACTAAAGCCAAAGACATTTGATCCATGTACCTTTCTGCTCTTTCCCCCATCTGCCACTTATTCAAGATCCTGTTCCTCTCCTGTGGTCTGATAGCCATCGTGATTCATTCAATTTTGGCCCTATCATATAGATTTCTGTTGTCTCCCATCAGTAGGGTGATAGATGGTTCGGCTGCTAATACCTGCAGTGCTGCTGTTGGCACCGTGCGATATTCGCTAATCAGTCTGTCTAGGGGCTCTTTTTGCACCCTTTCCAGTATTGTCGAGTTTTTAGGGCGCTGAAGTGTTCCACCCCAAACCGGTACTACATACAGCAGGATGGAGTTTGTCACTCCATTTATGAGGATATTCCTAGTGTAGCTACTAGGCCCCCGGCAGTGTGGCATAAGACGTCCCAGTGCTGCTATTGCTTTTTCGATTTTACTGGTGGACCTAAAGTTCTGTTTTGATCCTAGATGACTCCCAAATACTTAATTTGTTTTGGTGGTTTAATAACTGCTCTTTTTAGTTTAAATTCTAGTGTCTCTAATTTTGTTGGCCCATGACGACTAACACCTCACACTAATCCGTCGCGAGCTCCAACTTTCTCGCCTCCATCCACTCTTCCACTCTTTCGGGTGCTCTGTTGCTAAGGTATTGAACTTGAGACTATCTGCAAACGTACCTATCAGATTAACCCCCTGGATTTTTATTTTCAAGACGCTGTCATAAAATATATTCTACAACAGAGGACCGAGTACAGACCTCTGTGGGACACCAGTAGCCCGTCCCATTTGGTTCGTTTGGATTTTTCTCTCATCGAGGTAACTGAGGATAAAGTTAATCAGATTATGTGTTACGTTTTTATCCTAGCTCCACGGTACCGCATACGTCAACACGTATGGCATCTACGGTTGATCGACTTTCCCGAAAACCGTACTGGTTCTTTGATGTTGCGTTTGTCTCCTGCAGGCTCAGTTTATTTGACGTCGATCATAGGTTCCATTAATTTGCTAATGCTGTTCAGCAAACAGATTGGTCTAGATGATCAACGACTTGCTGATGCCTTTCACATTTTTGCTATCAGTATTATGTGTGCTTTTTTCCATTCTGCTGGGACAATTTCTTTTGCTGGTAAGTTATTCTCGTTCTCTTGCCTTCTCCTGTTTGTTCCTGTTACGACATCACGAATTCGTGTACATTCCCTGCGTTTTTTACCGATTTCTCTGCACCCTCAATACAGCTCTTTCTTTTTCTTTTTAGTTTTTTCATGCGTTGTGGTTTTGCTATAGAATTTTTGGACTATGCTGATACCCCATTGGTAGCCCAAATGGCCTGCCTTGACCTGCCTTGACCTGTCTTGACCTGGTTTGGCTGATTTGACCTGATCTAACTTGATATGTCCTGACCTACCTGATCTGACTTGACATGTCCTGACCTGACCTGACCTGACCTGACCTGACCTGACCTGACCTGACCTGACCTGACCTGACTTGACCTGCCCTGACCTGACGTGACCTGATTTGAGCTGGCTTGACCAGACCTGACTTCGATTCCGATCATAAATGTCGATCGACCATTTCAACTCGATTTCTTAATTCGATTTATCCTTGCAAAAATTATCCACAAATA